GATGGCGATGTCGTTTTTTGAGCATGGCTCCCTCCCCCCTGCAGTTTCGGAATCCACTGTGGTGCTTATTCCTAAAGTGGAAGAACCGGAGTCAGTCACGCAACTCCGCCCCATCTCCTTGAACAATGTCAGCCTGAAAGTCATAACGAAAGCGATGACGAGCCGTTTGAAGTCTGTTATGAGATCTCTTGTGTCACCTAGGCAGTCCAGCTTTATCCCAGGTCGTCAGACGATGGATAATATTGTGGTGGTTCAGGAGGTTATCCACTCCTTGAGAAAGAGGAAGGGGCGAAAGGGTGGTTTGGTGGTGAAAATCGACCTGGAGAAGGCTTATGATCGGCTTAGGTGGGACTTTCTAAGGGACACCCTGATTGAAGTTGGCCTACCGAGCTCTTGGATCAGATGTATCATTTACTGTGTTGAGCAGAACAAAATGCGTATTCTCTGGAACGGGGATTTGCTGGAGCCCATAACCCCCACCCGTGGGGTTCGCCAGGGAGATCCTCTTTCCCCTTATCTCTTTGTGTTATGTATGGAGCGCCTTTCTCACAGGATTGATAAGGCCGTTCGAGATAAGCTATGGAATCCCATTTGCTTATCGAAGGATGGCCCGGCTCTGACTCATCTTTTCTTTGCCGATGATTTGGTTTTGTTTGCAGAAGCAAAAACCTCTCAAGTGAAGATTATAAAGCAGTGCCTTGATGAGTTCTGTGATAGCTCCGGTCAGCGAGTGAATTGTGCGAAGTCTATGATCTACATTTCACCTAATATCCACCATGCCAGAGCTCAGCGCCTAAGTACCAGGGCTGGTATCCCCCTCGCTACCAGTCTAGGGAAGTACTTAGGTATTCACACCATTCATGGTCGGGTTACCAGGAGTAGATACCAGGGGCTCCTGCTGCAGATTAAGAAGAAATTGGCGCCTTGGAAGGCCAGGAAGCTATCACTCGCTGCGCGTTTGACTGTTACTAGATCAGTTTCCCTATCCATCCCTGTTTATCCTATGCAGACTGAGCTTTTGCCTGTGAATGTTTGCAATGCTATTGATAAAATCAACAGGGACTTTATCTGGGGGAAAGAGGAGGAGAAAGGGAAGATCCATCTAGTAGCATGGGATAAAATGGTGGAACCCAGAGCCCAGGGAGGAGGGGGTCTGAGGTCTATCCGGCATGCAAACCTGGCTATGCTCGCCAAAGGAGGGTGGATGATTCTGAAAGAGAAGGACTGCCTCTGGACTCAAGTCATGAGATCGAAATATGGGAAACATCGAGAAGGTCTTGAAGTGCTTCGGCCTGTTAAGGGAGGTTCCTTTACCTGGAATAGTTTGACTAAAGCCTCAAGCCTTCTTCGGAAGGGTTGTGCGTGGAATATTCATAATGGAAAAGAAGCTAAGTTCTGGCGTGATGTTTGGCTTTTGCAGGTACCTTTGGCAGATGTGGCCCTTCAACCGGTGACGGAGGAGATGCTAGATGAGCATGTGGCGGACTACATTGACGAGGACGGAAGATGGGACATCAACCGTTTGGAAGATTGGCTTCCTGCTGAGGTGCTGCAAAAGATCACGGCGAACCTGGTGGATCCCCTATCCCTGGAGGAGGACACTATCCTTTGGACCGCTTCCTCGAATGGCCATTTCTCTACCTCCTTGGCCTACAGTCTGGCCTTGCCTCCGAGGAATGATTCGAATGAGAAGGTCTGGAAAACCATTTGGAAGCTCCCGGTTGTAGAAAGAGTCAGGTGTTTTGTTTGGCTGGTGTCTTTAGGGCGCATCGCGACTAATGCTCTCCGCTACTCCCGTAAGTGTGCGGAGTCCCCCATGTGCCAGAGATGCGGGTGCGATGAAGAGACCATTCTGCACTTGCTGCGTGACTGCTACCCTGCTCGCTTCTTTTGGCTGAGATGGATTCCGCAGGAGGAGCAACAGAGCTTTTTCAGCTGCACTCGAGAACTTTGGTTCCGGGACAATATTCTCAAGGAGGATGTGACAGATTCTGGTATGAATTGGAACAGTTTTTTTAGTACGGCTGTGTGGCTTATTTGGAAGAACAGGTGTACAGGTTGTTTCCAGGGGCTGCACAAGGCGATGACAGCTCCCTCCCTTGCTTTCTCCATCCACCAAAGGGCCCTTTTGTGGCATAAAGCTTGGCAGGCCCCAACGGTGAATTTCGGCCGCCAGGGATCCAAGCCGGATAGGGTGGAGACGCAAATTCAGTGGAGTTTCCTCGTCATGGGTGGGTCAAGCTTAATGTGGATGGGGCGTCGGTGGGCAATCCTGGGCTCGCCGGAGCTGGGGGCATTATCCGTGATGAGCATCGTAAGTGGGTCCGGGGTTTTGTTGCTAAAGTGGGTGAAGCCTCGGCGACTCTTGCTGAGCTCTGGGCGGTCTACTACGGCCTCCAACTCGCCAGGAAAGCCGGGTGTGCTTGTGTTCTCGTTGAGTCGGATTCTCAGATGGCTATCGCTTTGATTAAGAGTCGTCATGATCCAGTGAATCCTTACGCCGCCTTGTTGGCATCGATTCGGAGGAGCTTGGCGCAGGATTGGTTGGTCAGTATTGGACATGTGTATCGGGAGGGGAATAGAGCCGCGGACTGGCTCTCGAAGCACAGTCTCGTCTATCCCCTGGGTATGCATGAACTTGCTGATCCACTGCTGGCTTTAGCTCCCATTCTTATTGATGATTGCATGGGCATTTCTTTTGAGCGTCGTGTTGTGACGCAACCCTCTTCTTCCCTGTAATCCTTTCTGTGCGGCTTCGGCCTCCCTTCAATGCAAAAAAAAAAAAAACCATCAGAGCTCTTCTTCGCTTAGCTTCGTGATATTTATTTTTTGTGGTGAGCAACTGAAAGATTTAGAGTTTTAAATCGAGATTTTATGGGATTTTAAGGTTCAAAGATTTTATAGTGAAATCAAGATCGGAACCCATAGGTAAGATAGCAAAATCGTACTATTTTAAGATTAAAATTGGATTTTGACTACATTGGTTATAGGTGCTGGAGTGGGTGGGCAAGGCGGCGAATCCGCGTTAGACCGGCTTGGGCGCGCGGTCCGCCCATTTGCGGAATCATTATGCTGCTGCAACGACAAAATGAAAAGAACAAAGCACAACCGCATGACACTCACGAGGGTACGCTTATTCCAAATTGAACAAAATTCTAAAAAACGAATCCGCCTGAGTCTCATTGCGATTGCGATTTGTATTAGACTTATTTTTGCTTCTCACGCGTACTCGTGGTTATTGTCCTCCAAAACACAATATTGGTATAAATAGTTTTAAAACCACTATATTCATAGTAAATATAAAATAAACAATATTTTGGAATCAACCCTTCTTTTCCTTCCCCAACTCTCAATCACATTTCCTCTTCTCTTCTTCTTCTCCTTAATTTCTTCCTCCAAACAAGAATTGTATTAGTTTTTTTTATAAACCAGGAACCTCAGCTCTACGTGCCACTTTGTGACAGCGGGTCCTACTAAATATGGGGGCCACCTGCAATCAAATTCGACGCCAACGGAACTTCGCCCTCAGTAGCCTTGTACCTCCGGGAACATCAACAAGCCTCGCTTGGATTCGAACATGGGATCTGCAACTTACAAACCTTCACTGTCGCGACAGCTTTACCGTTAGGCTTTCTTACTTTTGGTAGCCTTGTATTATTAATAGTAACCGGTAGACAACATTGTGTTACTTTAATTACTTTTTATTCAAATCATTACCTTAGTTACTTCCCTCTTCTTCTCAATTCCTTCATTTAATTTCTCACCATTGATTTTATCAATGACTAATCCGATTTTTCGATAAACTTTAAATCTGTCGCTAATCCGGATAGCTACCCAATCTCATTTTGACAACACTGCTCATTTCATATTATTGTCTTCGTTTGAGGGGTTTCGTTGGCGGGCTTTCATTTCTAAGTTGTTTCAATTAATTTTCCTTGTCCTGTCCATTTGTACTCCCCAATTAATGGATTAAACCTTTCTGTAAAAATAAATATAGTTATCTCTGTTTGGGATATTTCCCCGCTGAACTCCTTCAGAAATCAGAATTAATCCGTACCAAAAAAAAAAAAAAGAAATCAGAATTAACTTGTCGCCACACCAGAACACTTAGTGCATGGACAGTAAAAGGAAGTGCAAGACCAAAAACGGAAACTCAGGTTTCGTTTGAAAAATTGGAGTCTAAATCTATAGATTCTAGATAATCTAAAGATTTTAACTCTCTAGATTGTTTAAAAAATATTTGAAAATGTTCATTGTTTGGTAATTACGATTGTTAACATCCAATGAAAAAAAAATTATTTTTTTATTACATGACATGTATATCCTGAACCAAAATAATTAGATTGGCACAAAAAATATTTAAAATTTATTGGTAAGTGAATTTAGTGGGATATATGAAAAAAAAGATATAGTAGGCGAGAGAAAATCTCCAAAACTAAGATGTAGAATCTCTCTAATTATAAGAGAATTGATATCTCTAGATTTGAAAGATTTAAAATCGATGAACCTACAATCCACGAGACAAAAAGTAACAAAAAAAAAAACATAACATTTTGCTAAATCTATGAATTCAATAAATCCATCATCCAAATCTTGTTTTCCAAACGACCCCTCAGTTCCTTACTCATCAATCATCATCACCAATGCAGTTAAAAGCGCGATTCTAGCTAGAAGCGGTAAATGGGTAAAATCGTAAAACGTAGATTCAAAGCGTAAAAGCATAAGTTTTTGACGCACCCTCTAAAATAGCTAAAATATATTAAGTACAACATATAGTATGTAAAATGTGAGTGTGTAGATTTTAGATAAGTGAATAACTACATGAAATTCATAATTAAAATGTAATATTTAACACATAAACTAATATGTGTTGACTCAAAAATAGAGAACACTCATAACATCTTAATAATAAGCTCATAAGCGTAGATCGCAACCCGTAAACGAGCTTGAGAATCCAAATTTCATAAGCTGGTTTGAGTTTACATAATTGCATACGATCAATTACCCATAAACTTTTATCGTAATCTAGGTAAGAGCCACATGTGAAGATTAAGGGAGAAGACTGATAGAAGGTCAGCGGCTGTTGAGAATACCATTAGGTGTCTTTTCAACCTAATGTGAAGCCCCCTATCTCGACACTAGTTGTAGAACGAGCGATGAATCATGTTTTCCATTTTTTTATTTTTTGCTGATATGTCTCCAAAATTACATCATTTTGGGCCAATTAGCACATTTTTATGAGATGATCAAAATCGTATAAAAACGCTTTAAAATCGCGATTTTACCGATTTCAAGCGATATTACCGATTTTACCTATGTTTTTACTAGTTTTTGTGACTAAGCGACTTTAGATAGAAACTGAAACGTTTTGGTGGCCTGAATACGTAAAAACTTACGTTTTTACGTTTTAATACGCGATTTTGACTGCACTTATCATCACTAACAAAGACAACAAGTAAACAGATGCCCAATTCCATAGCCTAACAGCTTATTTCTCTCAATTCACCAAACCAGTATTACAACAAGACTCAGTCTCTTCTACTCATCACAATAACAAAACCCCCGCCCAAACAATCTACGAGGCAGCTGGTTTCGCTTTGGCCATAAGGATCTTGGCGAACTCGAGGAGCTTCTCAGTCTCCGGCAGCACGTCCTTCACAGCCGGATCGGCCGAGAACTTGTCAGCCCATTTCACCAAACCAGGCGTCTTCTCCTCGTCGAGAAGCTTCACTCCTCCCAGCATCACCTGCACGGCTCTCAACCACCCCAGCATGCTCCCAAAAGCAATGTCAAGAAACCCAATCCTCTCCCCGCCGAAGAAATCCTTCCCTCTGCTTATCTCCCCGTACGCTCCTTCCAGCAGCGCCAGCCCTTCCTTCAGCTGGCTCACAGCCGCGCTCTTCGCCTCCTCGGTCGCAGCCCTCGGCGCGGCCCTCACGTTGGGGAACCACTGCCCAACAACAACAACAACAAAGATTCCAAATTTTCAATTCGAATCCCAAATTGAAACACAACCCATTAAAGGAGTCGACATTCAGAATCCAAATTCGGGATCAATTTCAAAATAGGGGTACCTTTTCGTCGAGGTAGGCAGCCCAGAAGCGGGCGAGGGCGCGGTCGTGGGCGTCGGCGGGGAGGATGGAAGGGCCAGAGGACCAGACCTCGTCGATGTACTCGACGATGATGCTGGACTCGCAGATGGGTTTGCCGTTGTGTAGAAGGACAGGGATCTTCTTGTGGACGGGGTTTGATTTGAGGAGGAGCTCGCTCTTGGAGCCGAATTGCTCCTGGAGGAACTCGTACTCGACGGATTTGAGGTTGAGGGCGATTCGAGGCCTCATCACGTATGGACTCGGCCAGGCGCCGATGAGCTTCACATCATCATTGTTAGCTGCCATGGCTTAGAATGGGAAAAAAATGCTGCTAGAGAAGTTTGGGAAGAGGGTGGAGCTGATTTTTCTGTTCTGTTTCCTGATTGGGAGATGAAACAGGGGCTGGAAATGCTTATTATATATAGTGAGTGATTCATTCGGCAGAGTGAGTGAAGAAAGGATGAAGCTTTTGGGGACTGTGAGGAAAGAACAAAATATTGCAAGAAAATCAACGTGTATTAATTTCGTTGATCTTGTTTGGGCAATGAAACGAAATGGGAAGTGGGTGAAAATGTTAGATGTCATTGATGAGTCACTGGTGGTGGTGGTTCTGGATTGATTGATAAATGGGGAGGTGGTAGATGGATCCTGTGGCTGAGATTCAACTGCGAAGAAAGGTGCTGAAGCAAAATCTACCTTGTATTCTCAGACCGTGTTCGTCTTATCAAGCTTATTCAGAATGTCAGATCTTCGTTTCGCATTTGTTTACACACCGATAAAAGCCAAGCCACACGGAGTCTACACAAGAAGGGAAGCTTGAAGGACCTTGGCCGGCTGGGTACTATGCCAATTCAGACGGAACATGTGGGAGCCGTCCATTCACGGCTTTACTGTGTTTCTGGATGATTGGTTCCACAATGGGGTGGTAATTTCGCTAACAATACGAAAAGGATCAGATACTGGTTTTTGTATAGTGATACTGATTTTTCTTTTGATATTGACTTGCATATAGTGAGTGATATTGGTTTTCAGTTAGGGAATTTGAGTTTTCGTGTAATAGTACAAGTTCACTTAGGCGGTTGGAGGCTTGGAGCCTCGAGGATGAAGGTGGTCGGAAGAAATATGTTGGAGAAAGGAAGAGAGGCGCACAAGTGAGACAAAGAAATTAAATTAATTTAGAATTTTGATTCAAAAAAGTATAATTACTATGAGTTTTGTTTTTAATTTTTTAAAATGTAATTAATAAGTGTTTAATTCCAAAATATAATTAATATGAGTTCAAAAAGATACATTAAAACTTGCATTATATTTACGCACGCATAGGCACTATGCAGTAGGCAACGTTAAAGGTCTCTCCAATGCATAATTAGAAGGAGCTAGACAGTCAATAACAAAGGGGAGAATTAGCATCATCTACAAACTAAATCTTCTATATTAATATTTTCAATATCTCAAAATTTTTGTGTGCTATTGAGGATATGATTCTATGAACTTGTGAGCTAATTTTATTTGATTGTTAAGCAAATTATTAATCATTCAAACTTAAGTATGAAACCGTTGTACATTATTATTCTCTTCAAATTGCTATTTCTCTGTATTCTCTTCAAATTGCTATTTTGCTATTTCTCCTCAAACACACACACTTAGACAACGACAAACTAGACGCTAGACAAGACCTTAACACGCACGTTACGCCTAACATCTTATTGAGAGCCTTGATATTTCATTACCACTAGATAATAAAGCCCGTGCTACGCGACGGGTTTCAATTTATAATTCGTTTATCCTGATAAAAATATAGAATAAGATCACGTCAAACATATTGAAAGAGCTATCGGTGAGAATCTTAATCACCTACTTTGTGCCGATATAAATGGTCGTTCTATTCCATCACTGACACTTATAACTTATAAATATTCCTTCCCCAAAAGATACAAAATCGAATCGAACTCATAAAGCCAAATTACAACAGTTAACCCACGCCCAATTCTATCTCTTGTGGTTTTGGCATCAATAGTTTTGCACTATCTGTAATAGTAGAAAATTTTAGCAGGAGAGTACAAAGAGCTTTCCAAAGCTTCTTATTATACCAGTATACTAAGCTACTGTCATAACTCATAACCCTTATTGAACCAAAGAAGAGTATCTCATAATGTAGACGCCTAATATAAAGCTTAGAACCGGTTCTTATTCAGATTGAAAGCAATTCATAATGTCAATCTCCTTAGCTACTCCCTCTTCTTCTAAATTGATCATTTATAAAATATCTTTTCTTTTTTTATATCCAGAAAAGACCCAACACCAAATTGAGAAGAATGAAATCCGGTGTATTGGACCTCCAACAAACAATCTTTTTAGGCTTCTTCCTTCTTGTCTATTCCAGTTTAACCTCTAGGGATCCAATTTCTTAAAATGGCTCGATTCATCTAAAAGGGTTAGGCTTCATCCAATAAAAGAAACTGGTTCAACCCCATCTTCTGTGGTCTCCCCTTCTAATATGTCAAATTCGTTGTATGAAACTGAAACATATTCTAGTGACTCTAAAGAAAGTCATCATGGAACTTGGACCTTATATGAACCTTAGAACTGGTTCTACTCTAAGCTGAAATAAACCCATCTTCTATCAATGCTCATACACATTCTGTTAATTTACTACAACCTAATATGGAAGAAGAAAAACTTACTGATGTCAAGATATGCTTGATTCCTTCATTAGACCTATCCACCTAGAGCAAAGTATGAGAGCCATGGGATTGCCATCTTCATCAAGTCAGATGGTCAATGTTCCCAGGAATCCAGAATATATGAAGCATCCGTATCACTCTAAGGTGTGAGATCTGTCTTCAATGGCAGGACTGAAACTCCTGAAGAAAACATAATTCATCATGTTAGACCTTGTTCTCTTTCGAACTTAATTTCATTACATGATCAAATGAAAACTCAAATGTACAAAATTAGTGAACTGTTCTTCATGCTACTTCAGTAGACCTTAGCAACCTATTTGTTTTGCATCATCCTAAAAGCTATTTTAAGGTAGGGGATACGTTTTGTTTCTTTTTGTACATGATAAAAATGGGAGATTTTGCAACCACATCCGACCAAGGAGTTCTACGATGAAGATGAAGAAGAGGGGCTGGGTGGCATGGCATCAAATGGTTTTTTAGTTCATTGATTGAGTTTGTTCAATGAAGGTACTTGAAGGCTGAAGCAGAGAACTGTTCTTCATGCTACTTCAGTAGATGTAGCAACCTATTTGTTTTGCAACATCCTAAAAGCTAACTACAGCAAAGCCTGAACTTAAACGCTCCCATGTGTTTTGCATAAAAGATAGTGACAGACTGGAATGGAGTAGTGATTTATTTTGTTGATATTTTCTCTTGGGAGCAATGCCACCGTGACTACTTTGTTTTCCCAATCGACCTCCAGCCCCGTCAATGTGATCCCAATCAAAGTACTCGGTATTGAGCCTGTAAACCGTGCTGCACAGTCGGCTAGAAATTGCTGCATAGTCAGCTAGAAATTGACAGATTGATGATTTGACAGCTTCGACTTCCCCTACTGAACCCCTGGAATTGAGGAAACAAAATTGAAGAAGGGGCGTTGAGGGCTCCCTGAACGCGCTAGAAAGTAAAGAAACAAAATCGGTTGCAGTGGTGATGGCAAATTCACCGCTGAGAGAGATGGATAGCAAGAACCAAAATCAGGGCTAAGAATAACTAACCCTAGATTACCTTCTTTGATTCAATTGAAGCAGAAATTAAGAAGAAAGGGTATCATCTCCAATGTGCTGAATCGAGTTGTTGACTCACCAAAATCTAGCGATTTACTGTAGCCCTCAGCAGAAAGGAACTCATTCACGTCGCCGGTCTTGCTGTCGTCGCTCATGCTTCGTCAACTTTTCAAGCGTCCTTGAGTGGGTTTAAGGACTGGGATGTGAGGAGGTCTGCCGCCGTCATTTGGGGGAACTCATGCTCGTCGCCGGTCTTGCCATCGTTGCCTCATTCTTCATCGTTTGGTAGATAATTATAGCTTGATAACACAGCAACGGTACTAAGTAAATCACAGAGTCGCGCTGGATCTATGAGTGGAGCAAGTAGAAAGGGGCTAGGGATTTTTATTCCTTCTTCATATTTTGATTTTGCAGGGAAGAGTGGAGAGAGAGGTAAGGACATAGGAGCAAGGTTGTCAAACCGGTTTAAGTCATTGAGCCGGTCAAGCAAGGGGTTTGAGGTTTAATGGTCTGATCGGGGTCCGGCCGGTTTGAGCCGTTTTAGACGTTTTCTAAATATATATACAAATAAAGTAGTAATTAAAAATTTAATGAGTGAAATAAAATTTATCTTACATATATCTATTAAAAACTTATTTTCAACAAAATAAATCTACCTAACCTCCATGATCCACCTACCATTTCCCTTCCTTCGTTCCTTTTCCTCTCTTCTGCCTCTCTTCTTCTCCCTGTTTAGTGGTCAGACCGGGGGGTTTTCTGGAGGCCGTTTTGAAGCCCGACTCGGGTTGAACCGGGTCCAACCGGGGGGTTCGATAGGGGTTTAACAACCTTGCAAAGGAGAGAGGAAGAGTGAGGCGATTGATTTTACAGGGGAAGAGCGGAAGGAGAGATAATAAATAAACGAGATGTGATTTGGTGAAGGCAATTCTAGGTGGACCCGTTCTTCTTTCTTGCCCAGCCTAAATTGGGATACTCGAGCTTAGCTAAATCTGTGTGCACGGAATTTTGAAACCTTGTTGTGAACAATAACCTCGAAAATTTCGTAATGAACAGTGACCCAAATTTTTGGGAACTTGCACTTTAATAATTCTAAAATTTTTGCTTTTAGTTCGGACGTTGCAAACCATTTATAAGATTTGCACCATATACCGTCCCGATTTGCTTTGGTGACTTTTTTAAACTTCGAGTTACCTTGACTTGGTGACTTTGCTATGGTGAGTATAAGTTAACCCTTGTAATTTTCTTTTACTTCTTAATTTTGGCAGCAGAGGCAAGCAAATACGAAGGAAGCACATTGGGCACTTGACATTTCCTCTGATGTCAAGGGAGGACTAAAACTAACTGATTCTCAAGTTCTCAGTGGAATTTAGTCTAAACAATTCAGACTGAAATTTAATGCACAAGAAAGCTGATCGTAATAGTAGCAGAGTATAAGAATTTCAGACGATGTGGCGAACAGGAAGAAGATTGGGACCAGACCATGGTGGGATTCCTAGCCATTGTCCATGTCGCTTGCTGTGCGGACCGCTTGGCATCCCGCCACTTCATGGTCGGAGGGAAAAGGACGGCGGAGTGGGACAGAGACGGGTGAAGATCTTCATCAGGGAGTGGACAGGCCGCTTTGAAATGGGGCTGTTGGAAGAGAAGCAGAGAGACGCTAGTGAGACCGGGGAAGAGAAGCAGAGGAACGAGCTCCTCTCGTAATCTTCTTACTTCAACCACCGCCAACTACAGGATGAATGAAAACATCAGTAGCAAAATTGGTTATATTCTATTTTGGAATGACTGGTCAGCAAAATCACTTACGCTAACCTTTAGCTGCCGCTCTCTTTCCAACTTGTACTCCTGAATAAGAGGAAGCTTCTGTGGTACCTAATGATACCTACAGCAAAGAGTAGCTTGCAGCATTAATTGTGAGAGCAATGCAGCATATCAGCCAGCTCTCTGAGATTAGTTAATTCAGTACAGCGAGTGACAAGTACAGAGCTACCAAGTCGGAGCCCGTTTAACAAATAAAATCCAGCTTTCAGCTCTGTAACTAGCCAAGTGCCCAAGTGTACACACAGAAAAATTCATTTCTTTTTCGATCGAACGACAAGAATTTCTTTAAGGATTACCTTGTGGTTAGATTCAGCAGCTCGACTGCAAGTATGTCGCCGTGAAGCATCAATTTATTGGCATTATTCTGATCTCTGTCACAGGAGGTTTAATAAGGTGTTGCAATTGACAAGGCAGATTGAAAATGAACTCTTGAGAAAGAGACCAAGCATGATATAATTCACTGGCTTGTTTATTAGTACCAAATTCATGAATGCTATTTTCAGTAGCAAAACAAGCAAGCTAAAGTTGGTTCAAACAAATCGACCTCACCTCAGGCTCATGTGTTGTCCATGGAAGAAACTCTTGTGCTATTGGAATCAGCTGCTTTCTCTTCTGTCGTCATATCATGAATTCCTCCTTTAATTTTCCTCTTTGCTGTAGAAACAAGACATGCTGACCAAGACTAAAATTCAAGACAAGCTCTCTGCATGGCAGGCAAGGAACAGTTCACTATCTGGGAACAAAATATATATTATACCTCTGTCCTCTGGTGCCCATAGTTGCCCAGGACTCGGAGCTCTGTGAAGAATTCATACAAAATCAAAACAACAGTAAAGGATAATTATTACCAACATTTTGCTAGAACTTGCAAAACCAACATCAATTCGAGAACAAGCACTACATAGTTAAGTGAAACTAATGCCTTCAAACATACAAGAGTTCCAATTTATCCTCAAGCAGCCAGCACTTACCACGCCTAACCAAATGTTCAGATCCAAAGACTTTTCTTCTCTATGGCTTTCCTATGGGAGCAGGAGACTGCACATCAGCTTTAGTTTTTTGCTTTCCCCACAAGCTCTTCTATAGCTTCATCGCAAAGCGCAAAATTGTTGTCACTGTTCCCCTCTTCATAATTTACAAAAAAACTGTATATATCTTCATCAGCATTCAGTCCTTCTCTTCTCATCTCTTCAAATATTTTTCTTGCTTCTAACATTTTCTTCCTCTTCAAGAAACCTCTGATCAGAGCATTATAGGAAGTAGCCGTGAGAACAAATCCTTTTCCGGCCATCGCTTTATACAAATACCACGCTTCTTTCATATTTCTGGCCTTACAGTGTCCTTTAATCAAAATATTATAAGTGTTGCCATCCGGCATCATACCTTCAGCTTGCATTGCCCTATAAATCTCAGTAGTTCGGTGCATATTGTTTCTTATTGAATACTGTTTCATAAGACAATTGTACGTCGTGGTGTTCGGCATTATCTTCCTGTCCAACATCCATTGTAGCAGCTTCTCCCCATCTTCTAGCCTTCCCAATTGACAAAATGCATTCATAAGGACATTGAATGTAACAACTGTAGGCTGTAGCCCCCTTTTCAGCATCTCTTGCAGGAGCTCACTGGCCTTACCCATTTCTCCCATCTTACAATAAGCATCCATTAACGTAGTATAAGTGACAACATCAGGATGAATTCCTGCCACCTCCATTTCTTCCTTCAGCTGCAGTGCTTGGGCTAGATTTCCTACCTTACAAAGACCATTGACCATTGAGTTGTATGTCCATACATTCAGTTGAAGGCCCTTCGCACGCATCTCCTTCAGGAGTTCATTTGCTGTCTCCAATTCTCCAATTTTGCAAAGGCCATCAGCCAGTGTGGTGTAAGTTACAACATTTGGGACAAGCCCGTGTCGGACCATCTGGTTGTGAAGAAAGAATGCCTTCTTCATATCACCTAATTTGCAGTAGCCATCAACAAGTGCTGAGTAGGTAACTTCATCTGGCCTCACACCTCGACCAAGCATTTCAGTAAAGAGTTTGTCAGCTTCCAGCATGTTTCCATTTTGACAAAATCCACAAATGATAGCAGTATATGCTATAAAATCGGGAATAATCCTCTGAGCCTGCATCTCATGAAATAACATATAAGCAGCTTGAGTATTTCCCTGCTTGCAGAAACCATCAATTAGCGTTGTATAGACCACATTGTCAGGAGTTATCCCCTGATTCACCATCTCTTTCAAGATTGTTTCTGTCTTGTCGACATTACCACTCTTGAACAGAAGAAGGATAATGCTATTATAGGTATAAGAGTTCGGCTTCAATCCCTTAAACTGCATTTCTTCAATAAGATGCAACACTTCTTCTAATTCTCCGATTTGGCAATAACCATTTATTATAGTACTATAACTTACAACATCAGGAGGATATCCCTTGAACTCCATTTGCAGTAGCAAAGTATGTGCTTCCTTCAATCTAGCTAACTGACAAAGGGTACTCATTATTATGTTGTATGAGGTCGTATTCCAACACACACCAGCTCGAGAGAACTCAACGTAGACTTTCAAAGTCATCACGAGGCCATGCGTACTGTTTGACAAGTATGACAAGTACAAGTTACACGAATCAACTGAAACAAGAATCCCATAGTTCAACAATTTGTCAAAGAAGCTTCTTGCTTCAGCAAACAACCCAGCTTCAGCCAGGACATGGAAGAAAACATCAAATACGTGGGGATCAGAACCCCATTCCTTATATGTGTATATTAATCGTTCTACAAAAAGAGTGAAAGCATGACCAACCTCCAAGTTAGGCTTTGCCCAAAAGTCACGAATAAGCTCATCAGCCACCTTCAGGTCCTTACAAGCAGCAGCAATTTGAATAACTATGCAACGAGCTTCAAGGTTGGGATCTCTTTGAAGGCACGCCCAGTTAAAGAAATCCAAAACTAATTTATAATCGTTCTTGATGCTCATGAGAACCCAAACCAGATGGTCGGACCTAAACTTCGACTCAAAAGGCTTTAGAACACGGCGGAGGGGCTCAGAACGCCGTAACCTGATTGCATTTGAGATTTGATGGACAAGATCAGAATCTCTAATTGTGGGCTTCTTTGGAGAGTAATCAGGAAAAGGTCTCACATTGCTTGAGCTTGAAAAAGCGAGCCACTGATTCAAACATGTTAGGAACGAGAACTGTAAGCAATGTAGGCGGGTTTCTCCATTGGCACGCAGAGAGAGTACTTGAAAAGAACGTCCCAACGAGTGAAATGCTGACGTTTTCATCTCTTCGGAGAAAACCCATCATACTGAACTTCACAAATGTAATGACGAGACTGCAGCAGCTTCCTTCCTTGTGGAAGAATCATAGGAAAGACACTTCATGACTCCATCACCTATGTTGGCAGTCCTCATACCAAAATCTTGATCATAGGTAGCAAACCTAGACCACAAAACCAAAACAGGGTATTCAATGACTTAAAACCTTTATTCATCCCCGGGCGAACTTCAATGCCTCCGTCCATAATAGAAACATCCCCACACAGTCATTTCATCAAACACCTTGTGCACAATCTCAGAACCAAAAGCGTAAACCAAAGCAATACAAACCCGGTCTCCAAACTTACACAAGTTTCAGAGCCCGCCTTCCAACGCGGAGAAATCGTAAAACTCAGACGGCGCGTTCCTTGACAACGAACACAACTCCCGAATCCCGCACGAATAACGGACGATAGAAGCGAATGACCAGGAACAAATAAAGGGGCCGGGCAAGGCGACCAAGGAATATCCTTAACTACGATAAGGGCACTGTACTGTTCCTCAGCCAAGGTAGATGAAAGCTGCACCGAGGCCGACCAAAAAAGCTGCGCAGAGAGTCGCTTCGCTGTTTGAATGCTCAGACTTGTGTGTTCTTCCGACTCTGAGACTCTCCCGTTCCACGATGAAAGACTTCCCATTCTACCAGGAACATTTCTTCGGAGGGGCTCCGTCTAAACCAGATCAACCAACTTTAAAGCGGCCCACTTGAAGGAAGTCAGGCCCAGTCCATTTCCACCTGGATCCAATTTATGAACAGATTGCCAAGCCCAGCTTCCCTTATTGGCAAACGGTGACCTTCGCTTTCAGATTTTGAGGAACATTCTTCTCTAGAACAAAATGGAAGTGACTCCAGAAAATGAATTCAGATCACGGCCAGCCAAATCAACACAACAAAATCACTGCTGGCTTGGCAGTTTGATCACCTTTCTTTTTACACTTAAATCGGAGGCACTTTAATATAACTATGACTAGATTGTACCTGTTCGGTTCGGTTGCAATATGATAACCGTAATTAACAAAATTCTAAAATTTAAATTTCAACAATTTGCTCCTCTTATATTCTTGCCAGTATTATATGTCAATGTCGTGCGAATTAACAAGCAATATGATCAATTTTACAAAATAGCTAGCAAGTTAGTTTCCCAATATTTAACATTAAGAACATCAAAATATTCAATTGCTGGAAATTAGCATCCATCATAAACATTACTAACATTTGCCTTCTATACAAATTCTGGCTGAAATTCAAAAGATAGGAATTATGCAAGGGGAATTCTGCTGTGCAGGCGCTGCATCGGTGTTGTCACTCTTCAACCGGGTGTTGGCTATTTTTTTGTTTTATTGCCGGTTGTGGTTAATGGGAAATATTAAATTATATTCTCCTATTCACGTTTCTAGATTTTGCTTCAATTTTTGGGTGTTCAAATTATAGTTAGTAAAATATATTACGTTATGTATAAAATATGTACAAGTATTTTATTTTGGATTTAAACTAATGATATTTTTAATCTTATAATAATAGTAATATAATAAATAAACGAATAGTTAGTTTTTCAAAGTTATCAATTTAATTCAATAAAAATGAATGTTAAACGCGTTATACATAGTTAGTCGAGAGCCATCAAATTGACGTAAAAAATGAAACTATTTAAAAATAAGTACATTCATATATACAATATCAAATAGATTATTACTAACTATGACTTATATGTTCTAGAAAAAGGATATGTATTTTTTGTTTTTATTTTTTTTCAATAATTTTTCTTAAAAATGTTAAGTAGCCACTATTAATTTTGTCATTTTTATTTTATTTTTCTTATGAATTTTAATTTTGGATTAAAAATAATCTGATGTCTCAATGACATGGCTTCTATTTAGCTATTTATTTTTTGTCACATCAAAAAAATTACAAAAGTCAACATCACTTTGACCACGGTCTAGTCAACTGTTATCTCTAACGGTCAACGAAAGCGTCAGGATACAAATATCACTAAAGCATCATACGACGATATAAGATTGTGATATTGAATAAAATAGTACGCAAATGACATTTAGTTGATAATTCAGGCATTGTAGTGGTATTAGCCCAAATAACAATGAGAGAATTTGTGTAAGCTTAGCCTAAAAGCATATCTTAATTTCAAATTTAAACCTATAAATTATCGAACTTTGTCTAATTTAACGATATATATTAGAATAAAAAATAACTCAATTCACTTTGAGTGAATAAATATCCATTTAATGATATTGTGAAGGTAGACCTAAAAATATCTAGAAATATTTAAGATTTTAGAAAGTGAGAAAAGTTTTGTTGGTGGAGGATTCCAACGTCTATCAATAATTGTTGCTAGATACTTAATTTAAGACCCATAAAGTGTTATTGGTTTATCTTGAATCCTAATGCATTAACTCTTTGACCACTATAGAATCTCAATACATATAATAAGTTATATTCGAGCTCGTGAAAATTTAGGTTCTTCTGATCAAAGTCGCACAACTTCGACTCAAGTTCGGATAGCTCGAATCGATATTCAATCGAACATAAAATTAAGATATACGTGAGGATAGATACTGGACACAATCAAGTGGGATCACTTGATTGATAAGAGTCTTGCCAAACTCTTATGGAATCTTTAACAAAAAAAACTCAAACATGAAACCTTCAAATTCAAACTATTGATATTTACCAAATATGGTTGGGGATTTTTGCTACGCAGACTCACATCATTACGAATCTTAATTTTAAAAGAATCAAACATGAAACCTTCAAATTCAAACTATTGATATTACCACTAAAATACTTCTAGTTATTTTTAAAAGGGATTTAAATTACTAAAATGACTGGGCCATAAGATAAAAAAAAATCAAATAACTAACCTCTGTGTAAAATTAAAGTGCCCCAAAAGAATTAAGCAACCTAGAACTAATGACGAGAAAACTGTTTGTTTATTAAAAAACACGGCACAAAGCAAAAAATCGGCTATATCCGGTTAAGTGTGAACGGCACCTGTGTTGTGCCGGCACAACAGAATTGCTTATTATGCAAAGGTATATAACTCATATCAAACTTAATAACACAATTTTATATATACTACAAAATAACCAGTATTGCCTTTTTTATCATCAAGAATCTTCATCATTATTCTTAAATTTGTTAACTTAGTATTTGATAAAATACAATTTAGCCAAAAGAAAAAGGAAAAAAATTCTCATTTTCTTGACCCATACTCGACCCGACATTGCATATGCTATTCAAGTGGTTAGCCAATATATAGGGGTGGCTACTACCCTTCATTTTGCAGCAGTTCACAGACTCTTGCGATATTTAAAGAAGATAGAGGATGTGAGGATGTTTTTCCCGGCCGAGGGAGACCCTACTGTTGAGGCGTTTGCTGATGCTGATTATGCAGGATGTGTGGATACGCGCAGGTCTACTTCAGATTGGTGTGTACAGGTTGGGAATTATTTTGTTTCAAGGAGGTGCCGGAAGCAAGATAAGGTATCAAAGTCATCGACAGAGGCCGAGTATCGTTCTATGTCAGAAATCAGTTCTGAGATAGTTTGGATCCGACGTCTGATTGAGGAGTTGGGAGTTACATGTCGTATTCCGATGCACGTCTATGGGGATAACACTAGTGCTATACAGATTGCGATTAATCCGGTTTTGCATGACATGACTAAGCACATCGTGGTCCATATTCATTACATTAAACAGTTGATAGCAGAAGGTATTTTACAGGTTGGTTATCAATCGACAGAAGATCAAACCGCAGATCTTTTGACGAAGGCAGTGGCTTCTAGTCGACACTGGTACTTATCATCCAAATTGATGTTGCGCACCGCACATCAATTTGAGGGAGGTTGTTAAGTTATGAACTTTATGTAATGATATGTAATTATACTATTTAGCTATGGTTGTCTAATGTAATTAGGAGTAGGGTTAAAACCCTATATATAGGTCACAACTGTTGTACTTTGGTAATTAAGCAGATGTAGTGAAACCTTTTGAGAATGTCGTCTCTCATGAAGACTAGTACTGAATCTCAGAGATACCACAAAATTTCAAATGACAAAACCCTTCTGATTCAACAAAATATCGGACCTCATAAGCAGGAACCGACTCGAAATTCGAACAGGCGAAAAAGCAAAAACACAAAGTCAAATTAAAGCCTGAAAAACAACTTAAAACAACGCAACAGAAATGCTGCTCCTTGCGCCCCAACAAATGATGAAAACGCACTACAGGGTATCCAGAATGTGCGATGGATTCAAAAGCTTGCCTCCTCCATCATACTAAAGTAGCGGCCAGAAGGCCCGTCGTCAGGCAGCAATGCCAATCTCACTGCTGCTCCGGCCGCTTCTTCAGGGGTATATTTACCCAAGTTGAAGGTTCCTTGTGTCTTCACATACCCAGGGCACACACAATTGACGCAGAAAGTTGGGTACCTCTTGGCTATGATCCTCGTATATGCACTCAGAGATGCTTTTGACAGAACATAACAAGGGGAGTAAGCAGTAGTCCATTTATGTTTCTTGGTGTCCAACAAACCGTCCTTGAAATCTTTCAGAAACCGGTTGAGCACTTGTTCCACTCTTTCCTCGCTCAGATGCTCAGCGTCACCCAGTACTCCTCTAGCCCACTCGTTCTTCACATTCTGCAATATATAAAACTCGGCGAATCAAGTTCCTGACAATCAATCAATAACGCATTTCGCAACCTGACGAGATGTGTAAACCGACCGACCTGGAGGCTGCCTGTTGAAGAGGTAATGTTAACAATCCTGGGCGAATCAGACAACTGAAGCAGAGGCAAGAACGTTTCGGTCATTTCTTTTGCGGCATAGTAATTTGTTTTCAGGCCCTTCACGGCCGAGTCGTAAGTGTTAATAATAGCCTCGTCCCAGTTGATCTTCTCTCGACAAGGGAAAACAAAAAAAACAGAGCAAATCCCCATAAGTTGCTACTCTTCTCCAATCTGAACCCTGAAAATGACTGACATGGTTTCAACTTTTGGACACTACCTGGGCGATGGGCGTAGATGTGACGATAGCTTCGTTTACTATGCATCCAATAAAGAAAGCATTGTTCACCTGTGCATAACGCAGCATTCAGTGAGTGAGACCAAAACCAGATCAATTGAATCGAAAGGAGTTGTTGCAGAACTGGTCAAATTGAGGTAGTACCAACCAGGATGTCAAGTTTCCCAAACTGGGTTTTGATGAAATCGGCAAGAGAAGAGATGCTGGAGCTGTCTGTCACGTCGAGCTGATGGTAAACGATGTTATCGGGAGAGACGCCATGGTTGCTTTTGAGGTCGTCAACAGCCTGGATGCCTCTGTTTTCGTCTCTGGCTGTCAACACCACGACCACTCCACTAGCAGCCAGCTGCCTGCAGATTGCGAATCCGAGCCCTCTGTTCGCTCCCGTCACTACAGCGCACCTGCTGTGAGTTACGAAAACAGAAACAACAAAAGAGCCAAAAAAAGAAATGAGAAGAAGGGAGAGGTCGAGGTTGCCATCTCCATCTTGATGACTAGGCTGAAGAATGGACCCAAGTAAGTAATGCTGCTTGATTACCTGTTGGCCATGGATGGGGTTTCAGTGGAAGAAATTGGCTCTTCTGCGTTTTTTTCTTTGGTTTCTGGATCTGGACAGGTGAAGAATGTTGCCTATCGGGAAGAAGTGTCAGGTTTGTATATGTATTACGTGGATAGATCATTGAGTTGCAAGTTCAGATTTAAGTTGTGTTAAATATTTGTTAATTAGAGATGCCTCTCGATTCCTGCCGCAAATCTGGCTTTACCCCATCTAATTTTTTGGATAAAAATTTGATGCCTTCAATTAGTTTCTTAGCCTTGGATCCGATCAGACTGCATCATTGCGATTAAACAACCACATGATGCTTGGCCTTGGAATCTGGAGAGTGGCAAGTCTAATATATTTTTGTATAATTTTATTTCTTTTGTTATTTTGTGGACACATATTCATAGGGATGACAATGGGTCGGGTCGGAGACGGATAGTGCATATCCGCTATCCTATTTAAAGTAGTTCATGTTTTACCTATACCCACATAAGAAACGGTAGAAAATCAAAACCATGCTCATACCCGTTCGGGTTTCGGGTATCCACAGTTATTTATGGGGAATAGTTTCTCTTTATAACTCTAAACAATATATTAACATTCACACATATTCTCACATTACATAAGAGGAAAAATATGATAATAATTCAGTAGAATGAAGAAAGTTAATTAAAACAACATAATTTCATGAAAATATTATCTGTATATGCTAAATATAAAACATGTTAGAGGAAAATAATGATTATTTATAGACAAAATACATATGCATGTGTATAATCGGGCGGGTTCAGTTTGGATAGTGAGAAAACCATGTCCACCTATTACCCGCAATGTTCGGATTCGGGTTTTACCCGTACCCACTAAAAGTTCTCCGAGTTCGGATTTAATCCTACCCAATAAGATCAGATTCGCGCGGATATCCACGGTTACGGATATTTTTGCCATCTCTTTTTTCATTTATTTTAATCACATCTGGAACTTTTGAGTAATCTTCTTTTTTTAATTTTTTAATTTTATCCTTTTGTTTTTGCTATCTTGAAATCGGTGTTTCTTCGTTTTTGAGTTTTTCAACTGTTTAACTAAAGCCGACCGGTCACACATATACGGATCATATGTATATCGGTGATGCACATTTTTTAGTTATAGATTTACAATCTTTGTTAGGTTTTCGGATATTCAACTGTAGATCAACTAATCATGCGTATTTTAATCATGTGTATTTTGATTATCCACTTTCCATTTTTATATTTCTTATCGATTGACATTCTCTATGAGTTTTCCAACTATTTTTTTTTTCATTGTCATATTTTTGAATATTTTGATGATCCACTTTCCATTTTTATATTTCTTATCGATTGACATTCTCTATGAGTTTTCCAACTATTTTTTTTTCATTGTCATATTTTTGAATATTCATTTTTTCTTTTGCATAGAGTCATATTTTCGAATATGCGACTTAATGGCCATCAAGTCCAACTTATTCTCATAGACTCATAGCTTAGAAGTGTAGTATTTTAATGATAGTTTGACTTAGTAGGTTCAACCCTGGTGTTATATGTGGTTGAACACACACTTTCTTCAACTGATCTTAGGTTATATTGTTTCATTTATTGATTCACACAATTGAAAATTTTATTGTGTGAGTTCTTATTTTTGGTAATTCATAGTACTTTGTATTTACAAAAATACAAAATCATGTGTATATCGACGATGCACTATCCATCTTTATATATGTGTGTATATTTTATCTAATCAACTAAAAACGACACATATTCGGATCACATGTGTACAAGTGATGGATTTTTCATTTTCTAGTACTTATATATTGACAATCTTTGAGTATTTTTGGAAATTCAACTATATATGGGTTGTTCATGTGTATTGTGTATTTCAGTCATTATGTATTTTGACAATCCTTTTTCCATTTCTAAATCGTTATCGATTATAAAACTTTGTGAGTTTTCTAACTATTCTTTTTTTTTTTGCATAGAGTCACATTTTTTAACATGCGGCCTGATTGACCATCGAGTCCACTTTACTCTCATAGCTTAGAAGAGTTTGACTAAGTAGGTTGAACAAGATATTATATGTGGTTTAACACTCTCACTTTCTTCAACGAACTTAGGTTATATTGTTTCATTTACCCATTCACAAAATTGAAAATTTTATAGTGTGAATTTTTTTTTAATTCATAGTACTTTGTATTTAGAAAAATACAAATCTTAATAATAAGAGGTGAACATCCCGTACGGAGCACAGGCTTTCGATTTAGTATATTATAGGAAACTAGTGGTTTGCCTACAGGTTGGCCGAATTAGGTATTTCATATGGTCAAAAATTGCCCTTTTAATTTAAAAGGTTTGAGTTAAGGTACAAAACCATATATGTTTTCAGTATTACAATACCATATTGGATGATTGAGATTGAGGGAGAACTAATCTAGTGACCATCTTTATAGAGGGTAAGGAGGAAAGTAGGGGTTTGAGGAGAGAGCTTACCATATTTTTGGTGATGCTGGCATGATTTTTAGGATTGGCGCAAATTTTCAAGTGTGTTGTTAAAGAACTTTTCAAATCTCATACGAAAACTCAATGGATATATAGCTAATTCATTTTACATTAGATTCAAAAAATTTGCATAGAAATATGAAATATCAGTTGTTTAGTATTCTACAAGTCGATATCCATTTATTATATTTTTAACAATATTCTAGGTCATCTTACCACTGTCATATTACAATATTAGTATATTACCACTGATAGTAGTATGATGTTGATATGATAGTGACATGATGTTGGTATATGATAGTGATATGACGCTATGAGGTCTGACGTTTGACAATAATTTAATGACCTCATATCACTATTTATAGTGATCATATCATGATATGATAGTAATATGATGTTGGTATGAAGTCTTATGTTTGAGAACATAATGTGATGATATGATAGTGGTATGATGTGCAATAAGTCTTACCGTAGTGGTAAGATCATGATATGATATTAATAATACTAACACGTGTTTTGAAGAGCTAATTTTTCGTTGCTCAAAATATAGCAAAACGTATATCATTGTGGATACATTAATTAATACATTGTTTTGTGAAAAAACTTAAAATTTCGAGTTAAAACAAAAGAGATACATGTGAATATAGAACATTCATACTCGTTATCAATCAAATCAAAATCAAATCATCAAAACATATATATATATATATATACAGGAGAGTAAACTGGAGTTTTGCCAACTCAGCAATCGAGAGCCATCCCCTAATTTGCGGAAGGGTATTTTGGACAAAATATTCCATTCTGATCCGGGCCTCACTTTTTCAGTTTTTTTGGGCTGGTGAGTTAGCCCACTAAAGGATTAAGCAAATGAATAGTAAAACCAACCCTGATCCCTTAGCCTTAATACATTCCCAAATCCCAAATAGTTTTATACTGTCAGAGTATGGCATAGAAACAAACAAATAATGGTCCAAGCCACAATATTTATTGATCCAGGAGAATGTTGAGACGAAAAAACCAACTAGAACGAATCAAATGATAGAAATGTAGGGTTTTTAAATGGTTAATGGTAATTCTCAAATCAATTAAGTCTAAATTTTAGCAGTTATGTGTACAATATATTAATTAAACTTATCAAAATAACGAAATTATAATTTAATTAATTTGCTTAATTGGATAATCGTGATAAAAAATAAAAAATAACATTATCATTATGTGAGAAAAACTCATATTAATTTATCCCTTCATAATATATAAAATGAAAAATCCATGACAATCAACTCATAAGTAACTCTTAACATAATTACATATACCGTTAAATCCATATACTGTTGAGAGCGTCTTCAACCCTTTTCTATATTTGTTTTGAAGTTGGTATTATATGTTCATTCTTCCATTTCAACTAATCAAATCTTTCTTTAAAGAAGTACAATGAAAAAGTACAAATATTACAAAATGAAGTATGCCGTGATAGCCCATTTATTTGATAAACTAAAATTTTGATGAAACACATTCCTGTCATGGCCACGAGAATAATAGTAAAATTTTATTGACATAGTGGCTACGGCTGCACATGTCATCATGGTAATTTTATCTATTTGAGTTGGAAAATATCGGTTAGTAGTTGATCAGCTTTGGTCCTGCCCTGCTTGACAGTAGTCTGACTTGGATTTCCCTCCACCTTGACATTAGATTAGACTGATTTCCGCTCCATCCTGATAGTTTCATATGTGTTTGAAACAAGGTTTAGGAAACCCTATTGTACCGACCGATTGGATTGGAAATACCGGATACTGTACAAAAAATTATAGGTGATTTAACGGTAGGAAACGATTCAATCACGGTTAAACCATGATTTTAGAAC